CATGTGAGCAACGATGAGGTCTTAGAGAGGATACAAACAAAGGAAGAGGCTTAGAGTTAACATCAGGGAGAGGCAGCTGAAGCTTTTTGGACGTATAATGAGGAAGGAGGGCCTGGAGAATCTGATACTCACAGGTCGAATAGAGGGAAAGACAGACAAGGGAAAACAACGCGTGACATACCTGTTGGGATTAAGCAAGTGGATGATAGAACATGGTCCGGGGGAGGTAGAAGAGGGAAAGAACTTGTTGAGAGCTGCAAGGGATAGAGGAAGAGGTGGAGAGCCATGATCGCCTACGTCCTGAAAGGACATGGCACATAAAAAAAAAACTTTGCGGAAATTATTCCGAAATAAATAGAAATATTTATAATAAAATTAAATTTGTAGAAATATTTTAGGCCTGCCAAAATATTAATATATATATAAACACACAATTCGTCTTTCTATTCTGAATTCATTTTTCTGACTCCTTCTGTATTTAAACTGAATATATATTTACATGAATAGAATTGTAAATACATATTTATATGAATTTATAATTAAGAAATAGATTTGAAACTCGATTATCATGTCGGTAGGAATCGATTGGTAATGAATAAAGTGAGTGGTAGTGAATTACTATGAGACAAAACCAGTCCTATATTTGATGTACATATTATTAAGTACGACTAAGAAAACGTGATATATTTGAGAAAGACAATAGAATCATCCAAAACACATACTGGGAGAAAATCGCCCATATATGGACAGAAAATGGTTTGAAAATTTCCCCAAAATATAAAAGGCATAGAAGGTTTCTTTCACAGTCTGTCTATCTATCTATCTATCTATCTATCTATCTATCTATCTATCTATCTATCTATCTATCTATCTAAGCCTGTTCATCTATCTATCTATCTATCTATCTATCTATCTATCTATCTAAAATTGTCATTGTTACCTAGGAAAGTAATTTTGTGACCTCTGGAAATACAGGAGTTCTCTGGTGAAACAGAGGTTTGTTTCTAATATATTTCTACAATAAATGGGTTGTCTGTCTGTGTGTCTGTGTGTCTGTGTGTGTGTGTGTGTGTGTGTATGTGCGCGCGTGTGCAATGCATTCAAAATCAAACTGTCAATCCCAAGAGGAGCACTTCTCAACTAGTTATTAACTATTGGGAACCAGCTGACGTGATTTGTCAGAAGAAATCTCTTTGTCTCCACTCGTCGTTATCTTGGAGTGAATAGTGATTCAAGACAATCAACAGATGGTGATGATGTTGGAAAACGCAAAGTTTATCGTTGGGCAGCTGAGACGATATCTAGCAAGAAATTTCTTTGTCTTGCCATGTCTTCAGTTGGCAATGAATTTTATTCAATTGCTCGATGATTATGATGAAGGAAGTGAAATTACTGCTATTTCTTGGAGAAGATTACAAGATATTTCAATGTTATGATGTCAAATAAAAATATACACGTGCCAGGTTGTTAATGGGAAGGGTAACCTGGGAATCATACACGGGAGCATCGTTTCCTGGTCTCAGCAATATAAGTTCTCCCAGTGGAGAAATTCAGTAAAAAATGTCCTTTGATTCAACCACGAAGTCACTGAGTTCGATCGTCGCGGAGTTTCCAATGAAAACATTTGACATTAAATAACCAAGTATGTTTGAAAAGTCGTAAAACCAACGAACCAACCAAACAAACAAACAAAACAACTAACCAAGCAAGCAAGCAACCATCCATCCATCCATCTATCCAACCAACGAACCAAACAAACAACTAACCAACCAACCAACTAAACAACCAACAATCATCCAACCAACCAAACAACGAATCAAACAACTAACCAAACAACCAACAAACCAACCAACCAATAATCAACTAACCAACCAAACAACCAAACAACCAAAAATATCAACCAACCAACCAACCAATCAAACAAAAGCCAAACAACCAACCATACAAACAACCAAGCAACTAACCAACCAACAACAACAAACCAACCAACCTCAACCAACAACCCAAAAAAAAGCCAACCATAAAAACCAAACAAACAAACAAACAAAAACCAGCCAACCAACCAACAAATCAAACAAACAAGCAAGTAACCAACCAACCAACCAACCAACCAACCAACCAACCAACCAAACAAACAAACAAGCAACTAACCAAACAACCAAACAACGAATCAAACAACTAACCAAACAACCAACAAACCAACCAACCATCAACTAACAACCAAACAATCAAAAATATCAACCAACCAACCAACTAACCATCCAACCAACCAACAAAAAACAAAACCAACCAACCAACCAACCAACCAACCAACCAACCAACCAACCAACCAACCAACCAACCAACCAAACAATCAAGCCAACCATTAACCAAAACCAACCAAAAACAACCAACAAACAAACAAACAACCAAGCAACTAACCAAGCAACCAACCAACCAACTAAACAACGAGCCAACCATTAACCAACCAACCAACCAACCAACCAAACAACCAACCAACCAAACAAACAAACAAACAAACAAAAACCAAACAACCAACCAACCAACAACCAACAAGCCAAACAAAACAAACCAACCAAAAAAAAAAAACAACCAACCAACCAACCAAAACAACCAACAAACAAACCAACCAAAACCAACCAAAACAACCAACAAACAAACAAACAAAACCAAACAACCAACCAACCAACTAAACTACCAACCAAACGAAAAAAAAACCGGACAACAATCAACCAAGAAACCGACCAACCAAACAAACAAACAACTAACTAATTAAATCAGATGAGGAAGTAGAATGCTTTGCTCGTAAATTCTCTTCCAATTCCACTATCAACTCATCAGGAGTATATTTGCCTATTTTTTTCACCTAGAGACGAATCTCTACTCTGTGATATGCCTGGTGAAAAACATGATGACAATACTTCAAACTTATTGAAGGGAGAAATTAAGGATTTACCCTTGCTTAACACACTCTTACAAATCTTTTTCAAAAACGCTCTGAAAATAATAAAAATAAACATTTTCCTTCCCCGCTCTTTAATCGCTGTGCACATATGGATATTTTGTCCCGGATTCTGGTATGAGGAGTGAGAAGCGATAAACAGTTATCTTTTCTGATATTCTACTTTAAGGTGACTAATATTTTATTTTAACCTAACTTCCTCTCTTTTTGTTTTTGTATATTTATATAGTATCTGAATATACCGGGTAAAAATGCAAAATTGTCCAATTGTTAGATTAAGATTTAAACCGTTGTATCTTAGAAATGATTAAAGATATCTTACTGGAATTCTCCTAGGTTGTTATAACACTATTGAGGTCTGCTTTGAGAGATAAGAATGTATTTAGCTCTAAGTTGAAATGATTACCCCCACTTCCTGTTGCGACCTCCTAATCCAGTTTTCCTTTTTACCGTTTCCTCTTTTTAGAAGTTATTCACCGTTCTCTTGATGGTTCTTGAATGGACTTTGAAGATGGAAGCCAGCGTATGAATGTTGGTACCATTACTGAAGGCCTGAATGATATTTTTCCTCTCACCATTGCTCAAATGGGAAGATATAGTGGGGCTGATACAAAACGATTTTAACCTGTTCTCTTTCTAACTGAATAACTCAAAGGGTTTTTCATTGATTCTTACGACAAATGGTGCCAAGGTGGCTGTCTTATCTGAAGATCTGGGAAAAAAGAAACTAAGTTTAGTGTATTTTTTTTTTTTTTTTACATATTAAACATTTTGTAGGATGGACAATTATCCCATGCTGTTTCTCGATTTTGACAATTTTGCTGTTACACCTGGTATACTTCTAAAATTTCCGTTTTTAAAGCTATGATAAAATTTTGTACTCACGCCACAGATTATTTAAATTTAAGAGCCTATTCTGGTTGCACTCATACACCGTAAAATGTATTCCAAATCCGATAAATTTTAGAAGAATACAAATAAGTCAATGAATACTATGGGGGTGGACCAAAAGCTGTTATAGGTTAATTGAATCCAAGTCTGGTTTATTTTAGAAGCATAAAAATAAAAACGTGAAATACAATAAGATGCAGGGGCGTAGGATGAGAGTGTAAAGGTCATTATAGGTTAAACGAGTGGAACTTGGAGTCTGTGCCTTTGTGTCTGAAAGCATTTGCTCCTATGGAGAAAAGTCAGCGGCGTTTTTCAAAACGGCGCTGGATATTCTCAGGAAACGGTTCCACTAATGTCAAGTGTTATTGGTAGGACATTTTCGGTTGTCGTTTTTTTTTTTTTTTTTTCGATGAAGGCCACTGCTGATGGCATTGATTTCTGCCAATTCTTATTCAATGTCAGCTCACGAGGTTTGCTTCTGTTCCGTATTTCTCAGCTGTATTCTTCGTGTTGAGGTTGCTGACGGCCTAGAATGCAAGCAAGTATTTCGGTGTAGTGACATTATTGCTTAGCTTCGGGTTGATATCTGCCCTCTTTTCTCGGTCGTTCACTCTTTCTCTCCCCTCGCTTTGGTTTCTAACTTCTTTCTTTCTTTCTTTCTTTCTTTCTTTCTTTCTTTCTTTCTTTCTCGCACGAATTTCTTCTTAACTCGATTATCAAATACGTGTCTTTCTTCCTTATTTATTTTCTCTCTCTCTCTCTCTCTCTCTCTCTCTCTCTCTCACTCTCTCCGGGGATACTTTTGGATATATTTTGCGTAAATTCTCATTTTTTTCTCTTTCTCTTTCTCTTTCTCATTCTCATTCTCTCTTTCTCATTTTCTCTCTCACACACTCTCTCTCTCTATCTCCCTCATTCTCTCTCTCATTCTCTTTCTCATCCCCTCTCTCATTCTCTCTCTCATTCTCTCTCTCTTTCTCATCTTTCTCGCTCTCTCTCATTCTCTCTCTCTCTTTCTCGCTCTCTCTCTCTTTCTCATTCTCTCTCTCTCTCTTTCTCTTTCTCTTTCTCATTCTCTTTCTCTCACACACACACACTCTCTCTCTCTCTCTCTCTCTCTCTCTCTCTGGGCTAACAGACACATTACGTTGAAAGACCGGGTCTCGTACGATCACCGACGTTAAGCAACGTCGGGCCTGATCAGTAGCTAGATGCGTAACAGCTTGAGAATTTCAGGTGCTGTAAGTTTGGATATGCGGGTGGCGTAATTTGTAATGGCTTGGAATTTTTAATCGGAGAGCCGAGTTCCAAATACCATTGGGAAAGGTATGAATCCACCCGTTCTTTCCAAGCTATGGGTTAATTAGTAAGACTTAACCATTATTATCTGAAAAAATTTCTTACAATCTAAAAATATTTTCTGGCTTTAAATCCCCTCTCTCTCTCTATCTATCTCTCTCTCTCTCTCTCTCTCTCTCTCTCTCTCAAAATCTTTAATAAAGAGCGGTTCGCGCATCTCCCCTCTCCTTTTTATTGTCACGTCTTAATCTGTTCTTCTTTCTCTATATATCTCTTTGAGTTTCTGTGTCTTTTATAACTCTAGGCTCAGCCCCTTTCTCACCGCCGTAATGCAGCGTCCCTGTGTCTTTTCTATAAATACTTTCATGGTAACTGTTTTTATAAACTTTCCTCTATGGTACCTAGACTTTATGAATTTAAGTGCAGTACTAGATTGGCAGCTAGGTCTCATCATTTTATGCTTGAAATGGCTAGATGTAACTGTAAGTTCAATGCTAACAGTTTCTTCTCTCACCTTCTCTATAAATACTTTCATGGTAATTGTTTTGATGAACTTTCCTCTATGGTACCTAGACTTTATGAATTTAAGTGCAGCACTAGATTGGCAGCAAGGTCTCACCAACTTATGGTTGAAATGGCTAGATGTAACTATAAGTTCAATGGCAACAGTTTCTTCATGGTAACTGTTCTGATAAACTTTCCTGTATGGTACCTAGACTTTATAAATTTAAGCACGGTACTAGATTGACGGTAAGGTTTCATTATTTTACAGCTGAAACCCCTTTCCATTTATCATTAGAATGGCTGATGCTAACCTCCAGGAAAATGACTCATTGCGCCTTTTCGGGTAAAAGTTTTCACCTGATATGAAGTAAAAAGTCTGCAACTGATAAGTGTTGGAGATTTTGGGTACCCTGGTGTACTAGTGAGCCAGCCAAAATGAGCTGACTCATTTTATAGTTCACCAATAGAAGGGTTAACCAATCAGAAGGCTCAAAATATTCAATGCAACGTGTATAAAGGCGGCCATGTTTTTTCCGAATATTTACTGCCAGCCTTTGATATCGAAGACTGAAGAATTACGGAACAGCTGCTGGTGGTATTGGCGATATAGTCAGATTCAGTAGAGTGTCTGACTCATGAGTATTAATCTTTAACGTTGTTTCATTGAACGGATTAAGTACTGCGCTGCATTCTATATTCATAGACTATGGTGAATATGTTCAACAACTATGTCCTGCTAGACAATTTTTCTCGCCAAAATCTATCTTATATATTGATAGGTCTACGGTCTCTCCATGCTTTTAATACTGGGGTTACATCTGCTCTGGTATTCTTGTTAGTATATTTAGAGATTCTTGGTAAAGCCGAAAGAAGAATCTGCAATATTATTGGTTCTAACCTGGCATCTCAACTTCAGTCCCTTTCACACCGCTGCCTTTTTTAGAAATATATTAATGGTAATTATTCTGATAAAATTTCCTTTATGGTGTCAGGATTTCATGAATTTAGGCGTACTACTTGATTGGCAACAGTGTCTCATTATTTTTCAGTTCAAATGGTTAAATCGAACTGCAAATTCTATTCTAACACTTTCTTCTATCGCACTTCTCGCTTGTGGAAGTCTTTTCCGGCTTCTTGATTCACAGTCAAGTTTGATTTTCAATAATTTAAATACAATGTCATTTGTTATGTTCTGTCTTTTTAAGTCTTGTTCTTTTATTGTCTTCTCTCCTTAATAATGTTTTCTTTTTTCTCATATTCTTTCATGCATTTCAGTGGCTTTATTGCCAAACTTGGAATGGAATGATAAAAACGCCCCCAAAAACAGTGAGATTATCCAACATAAACTAGATGACTACCAGGATTTACCAGGATTTATTGTTGGTGGACATAAACATAACAGCATAACATACATAGAATGAAAATTTGGAAAAAAAAAACAAACCTTAACATGGAAGCAAAGGAAGAAGAAAGAACTACCATCAATTGTAAGAAGACAGAATGTCTGGTCTTTGAGAAGGGTCGATGGGACAGCTCAAGGTGAAAGTTACGAATCATACACGTCAAGATCTAGTAATAACGAAGTTAAGTATTTGTCGTTTTTCTCATATTCTCTAACACTCTGTAACCTCTAGTGTCTTAGTGGCTTTATTGCCTTGCTTGGGGTGAAGGGTTTAAAAAATAATCAACAAATGCATGGAACTAATAAAAACAGGTAAGTTTTAAAGCTGAATTCCTTGAACAAATAAGCAGGAAGGAAGGCTCGGAAACTTAACCCTCACAGGGTATATTAAGGGCAAGAGAGACAAGAGGAAGTGAGTTTGTGTGAATGGATAGCGAAACGTGGAACGGGAACTTTAGCAAAAGGAGAAAAACTTTTATGAGCCACAAGGGATAGGAAATTGTGGAGAGCCCTGATCTCATATGTCTTGAAGAGACGCTGTACATAGAAGAAGAAAATCACTTTTCCACAAGAAATAAATTGGACCTCAAATTAAGACATCCAAGAGAGATAAAATATGTATATAAAACATATCCATATTTTCTATCGAGGGTGTCTTTTAGCGTCCCATTTATCTCTTTCTTTATTTAATTTTTTCTTTTATTCTCTCATTCATTTTTTTCATTCTTTCCCTTTTCTTTCATTCATTTATCAATCGCGTATTTTCTTTCATTTTTCTTCCATTTTTCATTAACTTTTAAAAATTTTTTCTTCATTTTTCATGTATTTTTCTTTTATTTCCCTCATTCTTTCTTTATTTCTCTCTTTCTCTTTGCTTTATCTATTTTTTATTTCTTTCTCCTTACTTATTCCTTTTCTTTCATTTTGTCTTTCAATTTTTCTTTCTTTTTATCACTTTATTCCTTTCTTTATTTCTATCTCGCTTCCATTCATTCATTTTTTTCTTATTTTTCTCTTTCTTCCTTCCTTTTTTTCTCTCTCATTTCCATTACATCTTATTTATTCATGTTTCATTCCATTTTTCCTTCCTTTCTCTCTTTCTCTTTCATTTATTCCTTTTTTTCATTTTTCTTTTTCTAGTTTCTCTTTCTTTCTTTATATCTATCATTCATTCATTTTTTCCCTTATTTTTTTTTTTTTTTTTTTTGCAATCATTTCCCCCAAGTAAAGAAATAATGTCACTAAGACGCAAGGTGCATACTGGGAGTGAGAGAAAATGAGAAGATTTTAGGAAAAGGAAACGGAAACTCAGTCCTAAACACAAAAAAGGGATAAACCTCTACTCCTGTTCAAAAGACGGGGAAGGAGTGCAAACCGAGCGATAAGCGAACTTTTCTTTTAGATTTATTCCATTCTTACTATTTTCTTTCTTTCTCTCTCTCTCTTTCATTTTATTTTCTTTCATCTCGCTCTTTTTCGTTCATTTAGCAATTCTCTCTCTCTCTCTCTCTCTCTCTCTCTCTCTTCTCTTTATGTCTTTCTGTCTTCTTTCAGTTGTAAATTATGACTAGGAAGATATAACAAAGGACCTTAACAGTACAATGGCGGCCATTCTCAGAATTAGAATAAGCGAAAAAGAAAGAAAATATTGTCACCTCCAACATATTTCTAATTCTCTCAGATTCCCCCTTTTAATTTACTTTTCATTCATATTTTTTACAATATTTTTCATGTATCGTGATGCTTCAATGCTCAATGTTCAGAACAAGTATTTTGAATATTGGTTTCAAGGCAGTACATTTACGTACTTGTAAAACCTGTTGTACCAGTGTAACCAATATTTCTCTCAATCGATGCACGGATCCAGAACAAAAAATTCGAACGTCGCTTTCAAAGCAGTCATGAGTTAATATCACTGGAAGACAGTACATTTTACGTAAAACCTGTTGTAAAACCAATATTTCTCTCAATCGATGCACGGGTTCAGAACAAAAAATTCGAACGTCGCTTTCAAAGCAGTCATGAGTTAATATCACTGGAAGACAGTACATTTACGTACTTGTAAAACCTGTTGTACCAGTGTAACCAATATTTCTCTCTATCGATGCACGGGTTCAGAACAAAAAATTCGAACGTCGCTTTCAAAAGCTGCCATGAGTTAATATCACTGGAAGACAGTACATTTACGCACTTGTAAAACCTGTTGTACCAATGTAACCAATATTTCTCTCAATCGATGCACGGGTTCAGAACTAGAAATTCAAACGTCAGTTTCAAGGCAGTCATCATGAGGTAACATCACTGGAAAACTTCATTTTTTTTTTTGTGATGCAAAAGGCATTGTGTTGACTATCTTCAAAAGGGCCACACCATCAATGGAGAGTACTATACCAGCGTTATGAATGTCTATCAAAACCAAATGCTCAGGAAAACTGACTAAAGGGTCCTTGTTTTACCAGTACAATGCCCCAGCATTCCTTGATTTCAATGGCTGCTGTGCGTGACTAGTTGATCACTCTCCACATTCCCCTGATTTGATTATCATCTGTTCGCCAACATGAAAACAAAACTTTGCTGGGAAACAAGAAGAAGAGTCGAGATTAATGAAGGCAAGATTTCACAGCTTTAGCATCGACCCTTCATAGTCATCCTATGAACTTTTCTGTCCACCCTAATATATAATGCATAACCGAACACAGAGAAAAAAGGGTGGCAAACGGTTACTTAGAAGAAGAAGCTGTGGAGAGCCATGATCGGCCACTTCCTGGTTGCATATAGTACATAAAAAGAAGAATACTTTTGTGCACGTGTAAATTCCGCTATACCCATGGAAGCCAAACCTATCTCATCTATACATGTAGTCATATTAATTGTTATCCTTTTTTTTTATTTGCATATTTCGTTTCTTAGCAAAATCCAGAAGAAAACACATATACTGACAAAAAAAAAACGCGCGTAAAGCTTATCGCACTGCAAGACAAAGTTACAAATTTCAAATATTAGGCAAGATAAAATAAATAACTGAATATAAAAAAAAAAT